TCCCTAGATGACATTTGGCCGGGTTCGCTGTCAACCTGGCTTCCTCTAGGGCCCTTGATATCTTCTTTAAGTGGGTTAGATGTTCCTCCCATCCTTCACAGTACACAATAATATCATCGATATATGTCGCTGCATACTCATCGTGGGGTGCCAAGACTTGATTCATCAGCCGCTGAAATGTGGCGGCGGCTCCATGTAGTCCAAAAGGCATCATCATGAATTGATAGAGCCCAAAAGGGGTTGGAAATGCTGTTTTGGCTTTCGCCATCAGTGTCAACGGGATCTGCCAATAGCCTTTTGTGAGATCCAGGCATTCCAGTAGCACGTCTATCCGGGGCATGGGGTAGGCATCGAACTGGGAGATGGCGTTCACCTTGCGGAAGTCTACGCAAAACCTCACTGAGCCATTGGGCTTGGGGACCAGCACAATGGGGCTCCTCCACTCGCTTCTGGATTCTTCCACCACCCGTAGGGCCAACATTTATTTTAGTTCCTGGCGCACGGTGTCCCACATTTTTCTGGGCAGGGGTCAGTGATTATCCCGTACTTTCTGCCCCGGTATTGTGGCAATGTGATGACTAATTAACGGGGTTCTTCCCTGTTTATCGGACAACACATTCGGGAACCGCGCTATGAGTTCTTGCAGCTGTTGCTGTTGTCCCTTCTCCAGGTCCTGCCCGATATCCACCTGGGGGTGCTCTGTTGAGGCTCCCACTTGCGGCCCCAACTCGTCCTCTGGGGGAAATGGGGTGATCAGCATTCCCTCCCTCTCCTTTCAGGTCTTCAGAAGGTTCACATAGTACATTCATAAGTCTTTCTGCCGCCCCAGTAACCTCACCTCATAGTCGACCGGCCTCACCTTCCGCACAATTTCAAACGGTCCTTGCCACTTTGCTAGCAACTTGGACTCCAAGGAGGGCAACAAGAGCAACACCCGGTCTCCGGGTTGAAAGGTCCGCACCTTTGCCTTCTGGTTGTAGTGGCGCGCCTGTGTTTCCTGCGCCGTCCGTAGGTTCTCCTGGGCTAGCCGGCCCAATTCTTCTAGCCGCTCTCGCAGTTGTAGAATGTAGTGGATGGACCCCTGGGCGCGTCTTTCTTGTCCCTCCCAAGTCTCTCTCACTAGGTCCAGAATCCCCCACGGTCACCACCCATATAATAATTCAAAATTGCCCTTACAGCAAAGAGAAGAACCGGCAGCCACCTGTCCCATTGCCACGGGTTGTCTTTGACGAATTTGCGCAGCATCGACTTCAGCGTCCTGTTGAACCTTTCCACAAGTCCATCTGTCTGGGGGTGGTACACGGAGGTTCTCAGGGATCAAATATTCTGTAGGCGACACAATTCTGTAATCAGTTTGGACGTTTTGTTATTAGTTCCCTGGTCTGTTAGGATCGTCTTAGGGAGGCCCACCTTGGCAAACACTTTTAAAAGTTCATCAGCAATGGCGCGGGCGGTCGTGACCCGTAGGGAAATGGCCTCCGGGTACCGAGTGGTGTAATCCACAATGACTAAAATGTATTTGTTCTTGTTGATGCTTTGCTCCAGCAGCCCGACCAGGTCCAGTCCTACCCGTTCAAAAGGCGTCCCTACCACGGGCAGAGGGACCAACAGGGCTTGGGGAACCCCACCGGGGTTAGCACGCTGGCATTCGGGGCACGATGCACAATAGTCCCTCACAGCGTGGTGTATCCCCGGCCAGAAGAACCGCTGGGCTAGTCTGCATAACGTCTTTTCCCAGCCTAGGTGGCCCGCCCAGGGCACGTCGTGAGCCAACCGAAACCGTTTGAATGATCTGACCCTTAGCCGAGCTTGGGAGCAGGCAGGAAGACCGGAGCCGACGGACCTGCCACCCCAAGAGAGGCCCCAAGGCCCGTGGTTCAAGATACAGGGTGATCTGTTGTACCGCCTGACCCAAGATCCGAAAACCCAAGCCAAGATCTGTCAGCTGCTGGTACCCCAACGGTTTCGGATGGCAGTGATGCGGTTGGCCCATGACATACCCTGGGCGGGCCACCAAGGCCAGGAAAAGACATTATGCAGACTAGCCCAGCGGTTCTTCTGGCCGGGAGTACACCACGCTGTGAGGGACTATTGTGCTTCGTGCCCCGAATGCCAATGTGCTAACCCCGGTGGGGTTCCCCGCGCCCCATTGGTCCCTCTGCCCGTGGTAGGGACGCCTTTTGAATGGGTAGGACTGGACCTGGTCGGGCCACTGGAGCGAAGCACCAACAAGAACAAATACATTTTGGTCATTGTGGACTACGCCACTCGGTACCCGGAGGCAATTCCCCTAAGGATCACGACCGCCCGTGCCATTGCCGATGAACTTTTAAAAGTATTTGCCAGGGTGGGCCTCCCTAAGACGATCCTAACAGACCAGGGAACTAACGTAACGTCCAAACTGATGACAGAATTGTGTCGCTTACTGAATATCCGATCCCTGAGAACCTCCGTGTACCACCCCCAGACGGATGGACTGGTAGAACAGTTCAACAGGACGCTGAAGTCGATGCTGCGCAAATTCATCGAAGACGACCCACGGCAGTGGGACAGGTGGCTGCCAGCTCTTCTCTTTGCCATAAGGGAGGTTCCCCAAGCATCCATGGGATTTTCTCCTTTTGAATTATTATATGGGCGGCGACCACGGGGGATTCTGGATCTAGTGAGAGACTTGGGAGGGACAAGAAAGACGCACCCAGGGGTCCATCCACTATATTTTACAATTGCGAGAGCGGCTAGAAGAATTAGGCTGGCTAGCACAGGAGAACCTGCGGACGGTGCAGGAAACACAGGCACGTCACTACAACCAGAAGGCGAAGGTGCGGACTTTTCAACCCGGGGACTGGATGTTGCTCTTGTTGCCCTCTTCAGAGTCCAAGTTGCTAGCGAAGTGGCAAGGACTGTTTGAAGTCGTGCGGAAGGTGGGGTCGGTCGACTATGAGGTGAGGTTACCAGGGTGGCGGAAAGACTTACGAGTGTACCATGTGAACCTCCTGAAGGCCTGGAAGGAGAGCGAGGCAATGCTGATCACCCCATTTCCCCCAGAGGATGAGTTGGGGCCGCAAGTGGGAGCCTCGATGGAGCGCCCCCAGGAGGACATCGGGCAAGACCTGGCGAAGGGACAACAGCAACAGCTGCAAGAACTCAGTGTGGTTCCCGCATGTGTTGTCAGATA